CTGAGGGCCCTGGGGGTGTTCAGCCTGGAGAAGAGGAGCTGAGGGGAGAGCTTCTCCCTCTCTACAGCTCCCTGACAGGAGGGGGGAGCGAGGGGGGGGCGGTCTCTGCTCCCACGGAACAGGCGATGGGACAGGAGGGAACGGCCTCAAGTTGCTCCAGGGGAGGTTTAGGGTGGATATTGGGAAGAAGGTCTTCATGGAAAGGGTTATCAAACACAGGAACAGGCTGCCCAGGGCAGTGGTGGAGTCGCCGTCCCTGGGGGGATTTAAAAGTATGTGATGCCGAGGGACATGGTTTAGTGGTAACTTGGCAGTACTGGGTTAATGGTTCGACTTGATGATCTTAAAGGTCTCCAACCAAAACAATTCTATGATTCTAACCCATGCAACTCCTAATAGTGACAGCCCCGGGCTTTTCACCAGAGGAACGCACAAGTACCCTCTATGCTGGGGAAAATGTTTGATTTTATCCTTGGCAGGAGCCATGTGCAGCGATGCTGCCCCAGCCGTGCCAGCCCCTCTGCCCGCACGCCTGCTGGTTCGTTAGGGAAGCGTGGGGCTTGGCTGGCCGAGGCTGGCTTACCCTCAGCCAACAAGTGTTGGGGGAAAGCTGGGAAAAGGAGTAGCTTTTTGGTAAGAAAATATGACATAAACCGTGAATCCGCTGGGAATTCTGATAAATGACATCACCCTGAAAAACTTGTGTCTGTAAAAATGTTGAAACTTAACTCTGACTTTGGTACATCCTACAACTTAGACAAAAGGAAAGCAGAGTAGGTTTTGAAAAGCAAAGCAGAACATGTGCTTCGTGTTTCTGCGCCAGCACCGGGTGCTGCCCTGCCTTCGCCCCGGCGGGGAACGGGCTCTGCCCGGCTCCTGCAGCCCAGCCAGGGCCACCGCTGCCCACGCCAGCCAGCCCTGCACCACCAGCAGGGCAGAGCGGAATAACTGACACATTTTCTGTTCTGACTATTACATTTAGTAGTAATTACAACATGCTCTTACTTTGCTGTCTGCTTCTCTACAGTTAAAATTTGTCTCTACTTCTGTTGGAAAAAAATAATGATCACTGTATTTTAAAAGCCATCTTCTCACAGAATGTGGAGTACTTAGCATGAGTAATTCCTTAGCTCCGCTATTCATTGTCACATTGGATATCAACTTCAAAATAATTTAGAATGCTTTCCTACTGTCGAACCACGAAACTTAATTATTTGTCAGGCTTCCCCCAAATGCAAAAAAAGATCAAATCCAGGTGTGATTTCTGTTCCTCTGTAGGCCATCCGATCCGGATCGGCAGAACAGAAGTACCAGGACAACGTGAGGCCGCTCCAGTGCAGGCCCTGCCATCACAGCCCGGGACACGGCAACCCAGAGCTTTGGAGGTGGGAAAATAATACAGCGAAGGACATGGGCTGCGCACCTATTCCTGTGAATCTTGGCCCTTGCTCTCAGGTTTTCTGCCACCCGAATCAGTGGTGAAACATTCAGGTGATTTACATCTGTGTGGCCTCCAGGAAGGGGGAAGCAGCGGGGGGTGAAGGCTTTGTTAGGCTGAAGGTGTTTCCCCTGCCTGGCTGAGGGGGCACTTCGCTTTCATTAGCTGCAAAACGCCAACTTGATCTCTCCGCAGGTTTTAACTGAAAAACAGCAATACAAAAAGCTCTGGAGACTGGGCCTGCAACACGCACCAGCAATACCCTGTGGCACCAGCAATAGCTGTGGCAGATGCCTTGTCGGTGAGCCCTGCCCCCCAGCAGCCGCTCGCTTGGAGTGTTCTGGGGGGCCAGGGACCACCTGGGGGGGTCGTAGGAGAGAGTTCTGGGGGTGCGGAGCTGGCCCCACACTGAGCATCTGTGACACAGGCGGTTCCCAAATAAGCAGGGAGAGCGCTGTCCTCAGGGGCAGAAGCAGCACCCAGATGGAGAAGGCTGTTCAAGCCGCTGTGGTTGGCAGGGGCAAGGGTGGTGGTTCGTTTCCCTGGGAGTATGTTCAACCAAAAAAACCCAAATGCCAAATCTTGAACTGATACTTGGGAAGTTTGAAAGCTGAGGTGATGATTGTGTTTGTTACAGGAAAAGAATTTAATTAGAAAAGGGGAGAGAACTAACAAAGAGAAGGGCTACCATCGTCCAGAAGGACTGGGTGGCAAGCTGTACTGCAAAGGCTGGCTGACCCAGCTCCTGCTAAACGGACGCGCGAGTACGGAATCGGAGGAGAAAGGGCCAGGGCCAGCCTCACACAGGCTGTAACTCACTCTGGTGCATCAACACACGCCTGACTTCGAGAGTGTAAATTTTCCAACTCAAGTTCAGCAAAATAACTTATTTAAAGATGGGCACCCACGTAAGCTCCTGGCTAAACCTGAAGGCAGAAGGGCCAGAAAAAAAATTGTTAGATATTTTAATTGTTCTCTCCAGACTTGCAGGAGTTCATATATCACTGAATCAGGAAAAAAAAAGGAGATTAAAAGTGCTCTATTATCTTTTTAAAGATGCTAAAAAGTATTATTTATACTAAGCCTGTTTAGTAGGTAGTAAACAATCAGAAAAAAATAAAAAAGAAAACATAAGGAACAGCTTGCCACATGTACGGGCACATAAACTTCAGATGTATTAACTTCTGCCATAAGAATCCAGGAAAACCAGAAATCTTACTGAGAATAACATTAAGCAAAGCACAATGAAATTAAAATTGACAAATTTGTCTGTCTCGCAAATGAGACAAAACTTCAACCTGCCACGCCGACTTCGAAGAGCCAAAGCACTCAAGGGAAAGCCACAGGCATAGCACGGCCATAAAACGCTAGTTCAGTTGTCACTTGGGATTCCACAGCCTTATGCACTAATTATAAAGAAAATTCACACACAGGATTATTCCTAAAATTATCTCTCAACTTGCCACATGAAATTGCCAAGGAATTGGATATAGTTGCAGCATATTACTTAACTCTTAAATCCCAATTATTAATAACTGAGGTAATCAGCTTTTACAAGATTATTCTTACACATACGTATTAACTGTGATGCAATTACAAGAATAATTTTTGTTTCTGAACAGCCACTCCAGTGTTCAACTTCATACACAGTAAAAAAGGAAATAAAACCCTTACAATAAAATGGCCATCATAAGAAAAGTAAAATCAACTATATAATTTAAGAGAAGAAAGAAATTTAAACGTAGTTATTAACACCCCGCACAAAGCAAGGCTGCAGCATGAGATCACTGAGGTACTTTTCTAGAAGTGAAAAAACCAGCAATGAACTAAGTATGGGCAGGGAGAGCGTGTCCTTCCGTAGGGCGCGTTACAGAGCCAGCGCAGTCGCTTGCCGAGTGTAAAACCTGAGGGGCTGTACAGCCAGTGATGGGGGGGAGGGAACCTGCCAGGAAAGCGTTCAGCCACACCTTGGCAGCAATCGGCTTAGTCCAGTTAATGACCTTGAACGTTTACTAGTGAAAATTCTAAGTCAATCACCATTTCCTAGCTAGTACAGAAGACCTGAAAGCTAGCGTTATGCATTTGCACCAAACCAGAAAGCATTTCTGTACCTGCTTGCCACTAGGCTTTCCTTGATATCCGGAAGGCGATGCCTATCATAACCGGGATGAGACAGGTAGAGATTAGAAGACACGCACAGATATTTTCAGTGGTGAATGTGGTTACT